AGCTTTCCAGACACATTGTCTGTTCCCAGTACCTTCAGACTGAAAGAAGAATCTATGCTACCTTCGGCTGGAGGACACAGTTTCATTGTAACTGCAAGGTTTACCATGGATAAATAATTTCTGTGATGCAGCTCCTCAAGCTTTCAGGTTTTGACATGTTTATTAATGAAAATGATTTAGAAAAGAAAGAAGGAGTCAACCAGGCAAGATACCCCTGTAACTCTGCTGTCATCATTAAGTGAATATGCTGTATAAAATATTTATGCTTCTATATGATTCAATATCACAGAAAATAAATATCTCTTTTAGGTGTTTTATTTTTTTTTGGAGAAGAGAGTGGAGGAGAGTGTGAGTCATAGTGGATGAATAAAATTAATTTCTCTTCTGACAAAAGCTGCTCATTTTGTCAGAGAAGTATTCTAGTATTAACTTTGGTTTCCTGATAATCTCTGCAGCCTGATTGGCTTCCAACAGGAAGTGATGGGCTTCCAGTCCCCAGGCTGTACCTGTCTGGTGGGCTATGGCCAGAAGCCAAATCATATTTCTTACTCCTGCTGTGTGTAAGATAATAACTGTTCCTACCTGGGTCTGAGTGCAGGCTGCCGGTGCACTTTGCAAAGGATTTCTGGTGAGCAGAGTTTTGACCCTTCGCACCGTTAACAAGTCCTGGCAGCTGCGGCCTGACTTCTGAGCATAGGGTTGGTCTGAGGAATCTGGGAAGTTTAACATGAATTAGTGTGTGACCAATGCTAGTTGTATGATTTAGAAAAAAAAAAAAACTATTTTCTCTGGATTCAGAGGGTTGGATTCTTAGGCAACTGAGAAGGAAAGTGCCATGTTTATTGGAGCTCCTTTGGAGGTAGTTGGTGGATGATGTCTCTTTCTTACACCTTCCTGTGCCCTCCAGAGTGTAGATGGGATAGAAAAGGTTCAAGATACAAGGTCTTATGATTCTCTGCTCCCAAGTGATAGTGAAGGATCAGGAGCTGTCCCTGCTCATCTAACTGTCCTGAGGTGGGAGAAGATGGTTTATGAGAGAGAAGTGATCTTCATGTTGCTTTGTGTAGGCTTTTTTTACAACAGCTGGCCTCAAAACACTTTTTATCCCTGCCTACAGCAGGGAGGATGGACAGGGTGATCTTTAAAGGTCCCTTCCAACCCAAACTATTCTAAGGTTCTATGATTCTGTGATTTTTCTAAAGACAGATACTCAAGGATAATGAAGGTGCTGAAGCCTGAGAGGTGGCAAATGACAAAAGTTTTCATTTATGTCCTGGTGAAATTAAGCCTATATTTAAAACAGTGTATATATGTCATTCCTTATAGAACTTCATTAGACAGGAAAGTATCTGTCAATTTTGTGAAGGAATTTACATGTCTGTTTTGTGCCACAAAGGAGTTACTGCCAAGGCAAGGCAAAAGTTGGAAATACCCTACCTACATAAACACCAAACTGAAATGCTGTGATGTTTTCCAGACATTAAGCTGTTCTTTTCTGAGCAGAGATTTCTTGGCATTTGTTCAAAAGAGGAACCTAAATGTCTGTATGTTAATGTAGAAGACCAGATTAAAGATTTAGGAACCAAAGGTCTATATGGTCTTCTCTGCAATTGAGACACTTGTGGCTGTCATCCTTTTGAAAGTAGTAGTCTTGGCTGATGTAATAAGGACTGTGGACTCCCTGAGATGTTTAAGAGAAGAATCAAGCTTGCTATCCTAGTAAACACATTATGTTTTCCTTAATATCTTTCCAAAAGAAAGGTTCTTAGAGTTTCTGTTCAGTATTAAATTAAGAACAGTAAGATGGATGAGATCTGACATTCTAATTCCCTCAGTATTGTGGAGGATGAAAAATAAATGAAGAACAGAGAGCATATAGGTTATCTCTTCTAGTACATTATATGCAGAGTAGCAGCAGCAAAGTTCTGACTTAGTTTGTGAGACAATATTATAACAAAAGTAGGATGCCATTCTTCTGGTGAAATGTAACAGACACTGTGTACATTTTTAAAAGAAAAAATTATTTCTTTCAGAAAAACCCTCTTAGCTGTTACTTTGGTCATGTGAATTCAGGTAATACTGAAAGCAGCAAGAGAACAGTGAATTCTAAATGCTACCTCCAGTTATTAGCCTTATAGCCTTCTCCTTTCTTTAGCTGAGATTCCTATATATCATTTCTGTAGAGATTTATGAATCTGCTACTATTTCCTGTTCAGTACTCTTAAAGATGTGTTAATAGCTATTCCTGGTGCTTTGTGTTGAAAGACCTTGCTTTCAGTATTTAATAATTTTCCTAATGCTACTCAGTATGGCTGGCAGCTTTAATGTTAGACATATTTATTTGACAAAAATTTTGAATAGACTGTGTCTAAACAATTTTTGTTGCTTCTATGAATGAGATTAAGGGTCAAATGCATTGTTTTGCCCAAGTTATTAAAAAATGTGCTGACATCTTTACGCATTTGAGCAAGGTCTTGAAATGTGGTAGAAGTGTGGTAGATTTTCCCAATGTTCCAAATTATAGGACTCTCAAAAATGTGTTTTAGCCTGGTTAGGTTTGTTACTGCTCAGCAACTTGAGTTTCCACAGCTTCTGTCTGCACTGAACACACTCCATCCTCTGACTCCTGAACATAGTCTATGCTGTACTCAGTGCTGCTGCCACTTTGTTTGACATAAAGAAATAAAAAACAGAGCCTTACTTAAATTTAAGGAAATGTGAATGGAGAGGAGGAGGGTAAAAGCTCAAGTGGCTGCAGATAGGGAGGGTTCTTCATAGAATCCCTCCTTCTTTCAGTGTATAAGATATATGGTGCTATGGGGACAGATGAAGATTACGTATCAGCCACAGTCCTCATCAGTAATCAGGATCCATGCCACATGTGTTGCAGACGTGGGGAAGTTTGGAAAGTATGTGTTGCTTCAGACAATGAACATATAATTAGAGTATCAGAAGGTATGTACATAAGATAAGATGTGGTTGCATAGGAGATCTTTATTCCTGATATTGTTCCCTAACTTTGTGGAGATTATCCTGCAAAACTGTTCAGTCACTGTAGTGTCTAATGCAAGTATTCGTATGTGTACTTCATGTGTTATATAGTTATACATCATGCAAAAAGAGGAAAAAAATCTAGAGGAGAAGTAATTGACCTCCTGCCTCAAGGCCATGTCAGCTTGAACTGTAGCAAGCTTGATGGATATTTGTTTTACCTTTTATAAAAAAATAAAAGAAATTTTCTTAAACATATTATTTACATTATTAACTATTCTTACTATTAAAAGCTTCTTCCAGTGTCTGAATTACAGCTTTTCTGCTGGAACTGCTTCAGGTCTTATCCACAGTGTAACTACAGTACAGGTTATTTATTTCCTCTTGCAACAACCACTTACAGTTTGTCGACTTGTTTATTCTCATTTTATGCAAATCAAATAATTATGATTCTATTATTTATCCACTTAGGTTATGTTTTTTGATTTTTTTTTCTTTCCTTTTGATCTCTCCAGTTGGTCTAGGTCCTTCTTGAAGTCCAATGCTCAGTATTGGAATCCATATTTCAGCAGAGGCCTATTAATGACATATTTAAAAAAAGGAATATTAAAAAAATTATTTCACTATGCCTGCAGATATTTATGGTGCAATTTCAGCAAAATCACCAAAAAAATTGAGACTGCCTCTGTTCTTTTTTCCTAATGTAAAACTATATTCAGTGAAATGCTGTATGCCCTGACAAAGACTTTTTGCTTAGCCTGAATTTTCTTTTTTTTTGACTAACAAGTAAAGGGAACATTTTCCTAATAATAAAATTACCTTTGAGGGAAACAAAACAAAGTTTATAAAACACAGATCAAAAACTAAACTAAAGAAAAACCCAGAGAATTGTTAAAATATATTTAATGTGATTTTTATTTTTTTTTGCCACAGAAAACCTAAACCTTTCAACAAAAATATGATCTCTTTGGCCTAACTTGATTATAAAGTAAATTATTAAACATTGAACTCAAGCAAATGGCATTACACATGCATAAAATTAATCTTCATATTCTGTCTGGTGTAGACCAACTGGGATTTCCTTGAGTTAATTTATTTGTAATAGAACATTCATTCCTGTATTTGCCTTTTAATGTTAGCGATATCCCTCAATTTAGCACAGCCACTACAGGCTCAGTGTTTGTCAAACTAGTGTAAAGGCTGTCCTTACACCTTCCCTTTGGAGTCAACCTGAAAGAAGGCATGTGAAAGTGCAGAATGCAAGTGTTTATCTTCTCCTTCAATACATCTTTCATGCTTTGAGATTAGAGGAGGGCAAAACCAAAGCGATAAAATATCCCCACATAATTTTGTCAAGGAAGGGGTTAAGAAAGTGGAATCTTTGTGACTGTGAGGAGCTGAATTATCTTCCTGACACCAGCAGGGGTTGCTGTCACTAGTTTGTGGTTGTCACATTCCTGTTATGCTTGACCTTGGAAAGGCTTGACAACATAGTCTGGATTTGATTAAGGGAATTTCATGTTTTTCCTTTGCTAGAGTCACCCCCCACCTCGACAAACATTTAAAAATGTTAAGAAGTAAAAAAAAAGTTTGGAAAGCAAACATTTTCCCAAAAGAAATTTATAGTTCAAATTTACACCAAGTTCGCACTAACTGGAGCAGTCCGGGTTTCCACTCAGGCTTTGAGAGCTCTCTGTAAGCCATTAGTCACTTCCCTGGAAGAGGCAGCTTTTTATAGGCAGCAGGATAAAACAGACACAGATGTGTAAGTAATATTAGAGGCTTTCACATGTACCTGCATTTTTTTTCCTCAGTCTTAGGAAAAAAAAAAGTAAGTATAGAAAAAAATTAATTGAACCCTTGGACTTGGTTTTGAACAGTTACTATGGAGATTGGTTTAATTAAATAAAATATGTTGTGCTGTGTTTTTTTTGTGATTGTGACAATTTACATAATGAAGATAGAAGTTCTTTTGATTTTAATGTGTTGGGGGTTTTTTCACTCTACAGGACTGTGATTATGCCAGCTGCCAACGAGTTTGATCCAGAGATTGTCCTGGTGTCAGCAGGATTCGATGCTGTGGAAGGCCACGACCCTCCTCTGGGCGGGTACAAAGTCACAGCTAAATGTAGGTATCATCATAGGCACATGTTTCTGAGTTGGTATTTTTTTAGTTATCATAAGTCCAGTTTACATCCATGTCTCTGTTTTGTGAAATGACAGCTGTGTCACTAAGGGCAGGAACTGTCCATCAGTTAATATCCAGAGATGCCCATGGAGCTGCAGAGTTCATCCAGCTCACGGGACAGGGTGGAAATGAACATGTTAGCATTTCTGGCTCACTCCTTTCTGTTCCTCTTTTCACTTTTGTCTTGACTTTTTAAAGTATTACTTTTCTGGCATTCAAATAACATTTTAGAGGTTTCATGCTTTCAATAGGCCCCATTTTCTAAAGGCTGGAGTAAGTTATTTCTCTTTAAATATATATTGAAGATTTTAGACTTTGGAAGCATAAATCTGATCTCATATTGCTCTTTAGTTATTGTAATCTTTTCAACTTCATGGCATTAATCCTGAATTACATCAGTGTTTACGAGGGCCAAGGTTTTCTAAAAGACTACTCTGTTGGGTCTCAATATTTGGATGTCCATTTCAGTCTTCCAAAATGTGTGTTTGTGGCAGAGATTTAATCCTTTCTGAAAGACAGGTCTGTCTGACATGTCTTATATGTAGGACTCCAAAATCACTAGCTCTTACAGGATATTGTGGACAAACTGATTCTGAACCTGGGCTGTTAAGCAAGGCTGGGTGATCTTGTAACTCTCTGTGCAGTAATGTGCACTGTAACATCGCTGTGTTTCAATTGCTTTCCATGGAACAACACAAAATGGTTTCCTAATGCAATACTGTGAATATTTTTTTTCAGTATATCTACTTTTATTCAGTGCATCTCAAGAGGTACCATAATACCATGTCAACATCAAATATGGATCTCTGCTGCTAATGGCAAATGCCTTGGAAAAAGTCTGGAGAAGTTAATGAAACCTAATAGCGTTTAAAACACTGCACAAATGGTGTCCAGTTCAGAGGATTTCAGAGGACCTCTGCCTGTTGTTACAGATCAGTAGACTAATGTTGTTGTTTACCTCAGGAGGTGCAGGGAAGAGATGCATATTTTTATTTTCATTCTCACTGAATGCTCAACAGGTTCCCCTGAATACCAAGGACAAAAGGATTGATGGGGAACTAGAGTGACTCTCCATAGTGGTGTGCTGTGGAAGGGGAGAATGTAGAGAGCAGTGCAAGGGTCTACCCAAGACACACAGGTGCTAATGCACAAGTGGGTTGGAAAGGGAATATCCCTGTGGTTGCAAGTAAGACCTATTGAGTTTTAGCACAGCTTTTCAGTTCAATGCAGTGGTTGCACTAGAGAGGAAAGAAATATAGCAGGCTGTATGTATGTTTGATATAATTTCCCTGTGTATTATGACTTTTAGTGAAACATTGTGCATGACAAGGTAAGAGATTTACTCACTGTTTTTTAGCATGTGTGGTGCCTGGTCAGAGACATCATTCTATGAGCTTATAAGGTAGGGAGATGAGCTTTCAACTGGTACAAAACGGATATTTTGTTGAGTATCATTGTGATAACTATCTGTATTTAGCAGAAATATTCCTGAGAAAGAATTCTGCATGTCCCTTAAGGATGCATGATGCTCCAGTAAGATGCTTTGGCATATGTAATATTCTGGCATAGCATCTTCAAGAACTTTACTAGAAATTGCAGCAGAGAAAAACTGTTTGACATTGGAATTAGTGTTAATTCTCATTCATGAGTTAATTAATTAACTCTTCATAACCTTTTTTAAAAATTGAAATCATAATATATTTTTTAATATTAGAAGGTGCACATCTGCTGCTGCACATGTGTCTGTAAGCAAAAAAAGTGATTTACAGTAGGTGGCTCTTGTTTAAATTAAGGGAAAAGCCAAGATAGACCCAGATAATGATCACGCACCTGAGGGATGAATAAACCCTTTTGTACGGAGCCAGAGGAATTTATTATTTCCCCAAAACAAAATTCTCCACATTCCACCATACCATTTTGGAACATAACATACTGTATGTGGTATGCAGAAAAATGAGCAGTCTATTAAAAAAATAAGGTCCAAAGAGAACTTTCATAATAAAGACTAAAAATAGATATTCATGCAAAGTTTTAATATAATTGGTTTGTAATAATTAAAAATTATGCACCAAACAAGTAAATGCAAGGTAAAACTTAACCTGTAAATATTGTTTCTTTATAAATCCTTAGCCCTTTATGTACACTTAATACATTGAATTTTCTGATTTCTGTGACTTAATACAAACTTTACACTTATAAATTAGGGAGATATTGTCATCAAAGGAGAGAATATGGGCCCTTGGCTACTAACATTGCTGTTAAAGAGAGTTAGGAAGCCACTGGATGCTTGAAAATGAATTATTTATATCTTTCCTTCAGAGTACAATCAAAGAGAAAAAACTAAAATTAAAATGTATTAACCAATCAGCCTTCCCAAGCAAAAACCATAGGATGAAGATAACAGACTGAACTAATTACAGCCTTGGAGTAAACATATAGCAGGTGATTACAGAAAAAAAGTTCTACTAAATCTGCACAGTTTGAGTTATAAATTATAATCTGCATGAACCCAGAATTTTAATTTTTTTCTATATTGACGTACAGTCTTACTTACTGAGAAGTTGCAACTTCTGATTGGTAAACAAACATGTCAGCAACAAAATAATCATATATATTTTTGCAGCTGATTTGAAATCCATGGGTCTGATGTGAATGTCAAGATTTCTGACAGTGAGGTGACCCTCAGCTCCTCTAGAAGGCCGTAGGGTGGAATCTGGCCAGCTGAGATCAGTGATGATTGCAGAGCTTGGAGATATCTCACTTGCCTAATTTATCTCCAGTCACATTTAGTAGTGAACTAACTAACGGGGTTTTTTCCATTGGAAAAAAAGGAGATAGTGTTTAAAGAAGATTGGAAGGGAATTTTGAGTCTTTCCTGTCTTGCTGTACTTTTCAGATAACTTGCCCTAAGTAAATCTATTTCTCCAACTGCCTTTGCAATTTGTACTAAAAATTGTAGTGGCAGTAAAAAATAGGACAAATATTGGTAGAAGAAATAAAGGGAATAAAGGAATTTTATATTAAGAATAGTAAGGAGGTACCTAAACAGTATGAATCTACTTTTTCCTGTTATCCTGATGATCCTTAGATGGATCATCAGAAGATAAAGACGATATATTTTGTGCTTTATTTTACAGTTAATTTTTATATCATCTGCTAAAATGTATGGTATTATCACAGTATTTGAATTTTACATAGTGGACGAGTCCAAAGAAAAGCTGCCAGATCTGGTCATAAATTTGCAAGTTGTTAGATCTTGTAAGAGCACTGTTTTTAAATTTAGCTCTGCTGAATGATCTCCATGTAACGTTATCCTACTTTGTTTTATAGAACAGCCCTTAGAATAATGCTTGCATTAAAGTCACCGAGATCACTTTACTGTTCGAGTAAATATTCTAGATAATTGTTCATTAAATGATGACCATTCCATAAAAAGAATAAAGTAAATAGGAAAATGTCAAGCCTGAATGAAGATTTTTTTCAAGGTACTTAACTTCCTGAAGCACTTTATTTGTTAAGGTCTATGATGATTTACTGGAGTTTTCTTGTTGTTTTATTCTCCTATTCCAAAGATGCTATTTGACACCAGAGTGCAAAATAAAATCAGCAATTAGCAGTAGGAAAGGATACCACTGTGGGCATTTAAAGGGTAAATGATATTTTGTCTCTTTGGATACTTGTCTTCTGTTATGCCAAATTTGTAATGAAAAGTTGCTCCAGTGTCTAGAATATAACTGACTCTATCTAAGCTGATTTGCAACTTTTAATGTTTTTATTTGAGAAAATAACTCCCTTAACGTATAAAAAGCTGCATTATGGTGTAATACACTTTGTTCAAATGGGACCAATGAAAAAAGTGCTAAAGTTATGAGCAGTTTCCCTCCTCAGGGAGTCCAGGTTATTTCCAAAGAATATGTCAGCATAAGTGGTAGAAATTAATGTGCAAAGAAGGCTGCTTTTTTACATATAGCCAACAGGTCTTCCATTAAGGAATCTCTTCTTGTGGCTGAAATTGATACTTCTCAGAATACAAATAAGAGTAACCAGGTTGAACTTGGATGCCTGTCCTGTTGGTCTCTGCTTTGCCCTTCACATTTCAGTTCCAATTTCCCACGGGGAGTAATGATTTTTGATAACAAGATCTCTCAGTGTAACATAAAATGCTATAAAAAGATAAAACACCTAGCATCTGGGAATAAGCAAATTCAGAAGTAATGTGCACAGTTTTAATAAGGAGATGACTGACTGCCGAAATAAATGATCTAGCATGGTGTATTAGCCATCACTGGAAGGCTTTAAATGAAACTTCTAAATGTATGGCATCCTTACAATTAGGTATGCCATAGCACACTCAGACCTTAGAGACTTCATGCAAAAATCAATTAATGAAATTTCTCTTCAATGACCAGTCTTTTCTTGAGTCTTCACAACTATCCTGCCATGTGTTGGAATTCTTTTCAGTTTCCCACTGTGTGTCATGTATAGCATATGTGTTAGACACAGACCAAAGGATAATGCTAGAACTGCATATTGCTGAATTCAAATGCAGAACTGCTTAGGGTCTAAGCCTGGTACTTCAGATAAGTTTCAGAATGAAAGTTAGCCATGTGCCAGCTTTGCTATTTCTAAAATATTCTGTGACTATTCTGAGTATTTCAAGTACTAAAAGTGATACATATATTTGTTGAGTTGTTTGGTTTTTTTTCCTGGAACTACTTACTTTCTAAAGAAGTCCCCAGATAATATTGTAACTCTCTACTGGACAGGATCTTGGACTGACTGTGAGTTGTTTAGGGTAGAGTGATTGTAATGCCTTTTGGTAGGGACTGCGCTTTCTTGCAACTGTCTGAAAGACTTCCCTGACACTTGACTCCAAAAGAGAGTCCTAACTGGGACTAATGGGGCTAAAGTAATAGGTATATGTTAAAGGAAGGGAGGCA